GGCGGGTCTCGAACCCGCGGGCTCAGGCAAACCACTCACCTCAGCCTCCCAAGGCGCGGGATTACAGGCTGAGCTACCGAGCCCGGCTCTGCAAGAATATTTTAACTGCACAGGAAAATGTACCCAATATAATGTGAACTGAAAAAACATGGTTGGCAGGGTGCAGTGGCTCATGCCTGTAATCCCAGCACTTTGGGAGGCTGAGATGGGAGGATGGCTTGAACCTGGGAGTTTGAGACCAGCCTGGGCAATATAGCGAGACCTCGCCTCTACAAAAAATAAAAAAATTCGCCCTGTGTGTTAGTGCATACCTGTAGTCTCAGCTACCAGGGAGGCTGAGGTGGGAGGATCTCCTGAGCCCAGGAGGTCACGGCTGCAGTGGGTGAGCCATGATCATGCCTCTGCCCTCCAGCCTGGGCGACAGAGTGAGATTCTGGTTCAAAAAAACTAAAATAAAATAAAAAAGAAAAGAAGAGGCGGGCACAGTGGCTCACACCTGTAATCCCAGCACTTTGGGAGGCTGAGGTGAGAGGATTGTCTGAGTTCAGAGGTTTGAGACCAGCCTGGGCAACTTGGCAAGACCTCATCTGTACAGGAAATCCCAAAATTAGTGGAGTATGGTGGCGTGTGCCCGTAGTTCCAGCTACTAGGAAGACTGGGGCAGGAGGATCACCTGAGCCTAGCAGATTGAGGCTGCAGTGGCTGTAAGTGTGCCACTGCATTCCACCCTGGGTGACAGAGTGAGACTTCAACTCAAAAAAAAGAAAAGAAAAAGTGTGGTTAAAATAGGTATAGCAGTGTAGGGCAATTTGTTAAAAGAAATCTGTATTTTTTGAAACTAAGTATTAGAAGAGAAAAATGCTTATGATCATGATAAGTCGAAAAAAAGCGAACTTCAAGATTATAAATACACTGATTTAAACCATATAAAATAAGAAAAAAGTAATAAGATGTTTGATGGTGGTGAAATTGAAAGCAATTTCTGTTCTTTGTTTTCTAACTTGTCGATAATATGGATGTTATTTTCAAAAATGAAAAAAAATGGACATACATATAAAAAGTAGCTTCTTTGGCTGTCCAGCACAGTTAGAGACTGGGCAGCCTGTGAGTCTTGGGATGTTGGCTTCAGGGCAGTGAAGATATCAGAACCCCAAGGCCCATGTCACCTCATTGGCCAATACAAGACCAGGCCAGGGACCCTGGCTCCCGGCCCATTTACACCCAGATTGTAACTTAAGAACTACTTGGAGGGTCTGTGTTTGTCTTGGGGCAAGGCGGCCACAGGGTCCCGGGCATCCCTTCATGGGCCTGCGAGCCTGGGGCCAGGGCAGGCCGGTGGGCT